GGAGCAGGTAGCAGAGAGACAAGAAGCTAGCAGCAGCAGTCACTTAACAGAGCCGTCACTCAATGTGACCACGCCCTAATTTATGAACACACTTTAAGACCTAATATAAATAAAAGGGTTAGAAAACAATTCACTCAGATTCATAATCATGAAGGTGGAATCTAACTATATCCAGGGTTCTTACACCTTTTCCAAAGTCAAATTCAAGCACTTTTCAAGCATTTTCAAGGTGCATTTTCCAGCTTTTCAAAGCAGCTTACAGCTGTTGTAAATTACATATTTATATACACATACTCAAATGATTATTTCCCTACCTCACATTAAATCAGATGTTCTTTATGCTATAAACAACCAAATGTGTGCTTCGTGATAGCATTCTACACAAGGATGAAAAATTAAAGAAAAGAAAACTAAGTTTAATATTTCAAAAGGAGTGACCTGTACGTAGACTGGGCCTCCCATATAACCTGTCTGAGCCAATATAAAACAATCAGCCAAATAATTTTTCAATACATTATTGATTACTATTTTTGAGGTAATTTTATGTTGGAAGTGAACATAAGTCAGAGGTAAATGGTGTACTTTTCCTCCACTACATGTATTTAATACCTTTAGTTACTTCACAGATGTGGATGAATGATGTGAAATATAATCAAGTGTTAAATCAGACTTTAGTTCCACCTGGAGTAAATCCACAAGGTAATTTTGACTACTCAAGACACCTGACTTATACATCTTCAAAGGAAGACTGTGTTCATTCTACAATTACATGGGATTAAAGCAAAATGTAGTTTTACTTGTATAATACTTCAATTTTATATAAAAGACAGTTTGTTTTCATCTGTTTTCAAATAAACAAAGTATTGGCTTTCAGAATATTAAACTTGTTTCGGCAAATTCAGATGATAAATACAACTTTGAAGCTTGTAACGGCATAATTACAAGCAGAGAACGGACTAATGTAACGTCACAGCAAGCATAACAACAGCCGGTGTTTCTTATGAGTGTTTCCCCGGTACACAAACGCAAAAATACACACACACTCGCGAGCTTCCCCCAGACCAGTAATACAAACGAAAATGTGTCTTCGGGTCAATGTGACTGATTTCGATAGAGCAAGTTACATTTGGTTTAGGTACGAAACATACTACCAGTAGAAATACATTGCTTTCAAAATCGCTCTGTGTCGAATCAATAGATTATATTTCGTGACTATAACACGAAATGCCGTGAGTGCTTCATCCTCTGAACACTAGTGATGGGAATTCCGGCTCTTCTTGGTGAGCCGGATCATTTGGCTCGGCTCACCAAGAAGAGCCGGCTCTTTCGGCTCCCAAACGGCTCTTCAGTTTACCACATATTATACATTTTAATTCAATCAAATGTAGCCCTGTTTTGACTAATGATTTATATGTGTATACATATATCACTTAAATTATTCAATACATCCTTTGTACTGAAGTATTCAAAAGTAAAAATTACATGTTTAATATAAATGATTTGCTGTGGCCAATTGTTTTCATTGCATTTACAGACCCATGTAACTCTCTGATACCACCCAATGAATGCATTGACTTGCTTGTAGAACCACGCTACACAAAACAAATAGCAACACCTATAAAAACTATTTAAAAGAAAAGGGGCTACTGTATCGACCTATATAAAGTATATAAATATTTTTTTTTTTATATAAAAAAATATAGAAGACTATATAGACCAAAAAGATCCTGCATTTTAGCCATGCCTGATTTCGCTCTATTTGCTCTTTCCAGCGCTGTTTTTGCAGGGGGCTGATTCTGTGAGCTGCAGCTGACCACGCCCCCCTGCAGGAGAGGGGAGCGTGCTTTGAGATCAGCTGCTGGGCTGTCAGAAGAGGGGGAGCAAAAGAGATCTCCGTCCTCCGTGTTTTATTCTTATAGAAGTAAGAAGAGAAGTAATGGGGCAGAAACCCTCCTTTTTACGCAGCGGCCCAGACATAGACATCAAACGGCGACACATATTCAGTTGCCAGTTACTTTGGCATTAGGGCAGGGATATCTAGATACTTTCCAAGGTTTGACATAATGAATTGTGCTACTTTTAAAGCAAGCAACGATGTTTTCAAATCTGTAATCAAAAAGCTCCTCAAAAACACTATCGAAGCAGTTCCTGCCGTTGCTATGTTAGTTCACTTCAAACAGTAACAACGGACTACTTTTCTTAGCGGATGCATGTCAATTTAAATCAATACATAAAACTATTTTTTAAATCAATAAAATCATTTTCTAAATCCATAAAATCATTTCAATTAATATTGGGAGTCATGTCGTTACTTTGTTGAGAATGTGGCCGTGTAATAAGCGGGATAAGGTGCACATTGCATAATGTGCCTTCAAGCCGATCTAGATCCCTCCTCAAAAAAAACAAAAAACCGGCTCGTTTATCCCCTGCAAGTATTATTATCCCTCAATAGAGTTCGCTATTCAGCTAGCAAACGTTAGCTTAAACAAACGTAACATGCAACGTTAGCCTAATCTAAAATGCTCTACTACGGCGTACCTTTCATGTGGCTCGTCAGCGCAGACTCTCGCATCGTTATGTTTGCAAACTTTGCAGGAGGCTACTTGTGGGCTTGACCCTCGTCTTAGCCATGGCTTGTATTTGTCTTCTGCTAGCCAACGCTCGTTGAAACGGCAACCTCCTGGCACACAGTCATCTATCACTCTCATCAGAATGCCCAGGTCACACGTAACACAAACACTTGCAGGTCGCGCGCATAGCGCGGGAAGGCCGCAGCGGAGCTGTTTTATGTAAAAGCAAAGCAATTATTTTCTTTTAATCTAAAAAGCGAACTATTCAGTCAGACAGCAATTTATTGTAAAAGTAAAGCATTTACATTTTCAAGCACTTTATCTCAATTTCAAGCACCATTCCCAAAATTCAAGCACTTTCCCAACCTTGAAAACACCACGTCAAATTTCAAGCATTTTCAAGGATTTCAAGCACCCGTACGAACCCTGTATATCGATAATAAAATGTATGGAGCCAGGGGTAGAAACATGTTTTTTTCTGCTGTAAATTGGGCATTTTAACATGGGGGTCTATGGAAATTGCTCCTTTCTGCAGCCATCGCCTATCGGCCAATATATGAACTGCAGTGTGTGGCACTTCCGTATTGGCGTCCCGGCTCTACCCCACAGTTTGCCGCTTGGTCTGAATGCATACATCTCCGTATCTCAAATGTATTTCCCATAATTTGTTCACTTGTGCACTCAGGGGATTATCATTAACTTGTGAAGTCAGGGTGTTTTATAAAACCAGCATGTTTAGCTTATGTTAACATTGAAGTCGTCATCCGTTATTGGTAAGTACTTCACTCTGGGATTGGGTGGAAATTGGAATTTCTGGGCTAACTTCTGCTTTTTCAGGTTGTCAGGTGTTTTATGTAGGGATGCACCGAATATTCGGCCACCGAAAATTATCGGCCGAAAATGGTTAAAAAGGGTTTTAGCACCGAAAAAATATCACCGAATGTCAGAACAGGCTTACGTTGGTAACCTAACGTGTTGTTGTGATGACGTAATAAAGACGCGGCGACCATGCTCGCGGCTGGCTCACAGAGGGGGGGGGGGGGGGGGGAGACATTGACCTTTGTCATCGAGATTGCCCTGAGCCTTTAACAAATCGTATTAAATAATCTGATGACAGACTGTAAACAGAATAGCTGAAATTTTAACAAACTAAATAACTCAGTTACCTCTAATCATTAACCCATGTTTGTATCATGTAGTTAACTCCGTGTGTTGCTGCTAGCATACATAACACCTGACGTGGAAACGTTACTCGTGGATGGGGCTACAGAGCTGCTAGAAAGACGGTCGAACCCGGTACATTCCTCCGTCTGCATGCGGTGCACTTTTGCTAAATGTTTAGACAAATTGCTCGTGCTTACATGCTAAACTCTTATTGCACTTATGGTAACAAGTATTCTCCACATCGAGACGGGTAAAGTTTAACCACACCTCGGAGCGCGTTCTCTCCGCCATCTCCGCAGTGTGCTCCGCTGCATGTAGCAGCTGCGTGTGTGTAAACTGCCCCGCCCCCTCGCACACAGACGGGGGAGAGAGATTTCGTCTGATCGAAAATACATCATAGACGCATTTGTTGTCTTTGCATATTAGAAACGAGTTGGCGACACTAAGACTGCGATATAATGTTTTTTAGCAATAATACATGACATATATAAATGTACTGTATGCATTCAAAAGTGCTGAATAAATGTTTTATGGACCCATAATAGTGATTATTATTTAAGTTAAGTTTTGCCATAATCATGTCTATTTCCATAATCAGGTAGCTGAACAACATTGGTAAAAAATGTATACATTATATATATATATTTCTATTAATCATTTTCGGCCTTTCGGCATTCGGTTTTCGGCCAACTGTTTCCTATTTTCGGTATCGGTTTCGGCCAATCATTTCCCATTCGGTGCACCCCTAGTTTTATGTTTATGTTGGTAAAACAGGGAATGCCAGTTGTGCAAGTTAACAAGGAACACCTGAACACACCAATAGCTTTCTTCCCTGAGGCACGGGCTGAAAAGGTATAGTTGTGCTAGATCCTGAACAAACATATATCCCTACGTTGTTGCACAGTGTGTAAGTGTGTTCAGCAGAATTTGATCATGGTTGATGGAAGTAACTTCTTGATATATTTGACCAGAAGAATCATTGGAGTATACCTTCCACAAATGCAATTTAGCTACACAAAAGAGAGAATTAATCTTTACAGGTGGCCCAAATCTAGGGAAGAAGATGGTGGGAAAATGTTAATCTTGTGTTTTAGTGTAGGGCTTGTTTTTTTTCCCTATTTTCCACCAGATTGAGCCATTATCTTATGTGTATTATGTTAATTCTGTTTTAACTAGGTTGTTGCTGCTGTTCTCTAGCATTGCAGTAATGCACAATATTTTTAAACATGTGGCTATACAATGCTAAGACAGGTGGTGAGTTGACACCTTAATACAGTCATGGCTCAGTCCAGAAGCAGGAACTTTGGAGAGGTAGGAGGAAAGGTCCTGGTCGATGTATTCCAGCACCAGAGTAAGATCCAGGCTCCTGCCCACTGGGATGGCAGATGCATCCAAAAGCCTGGGCATATAAATGAACAGGGGATTACACATTTAACAACAGCAGCAACAGCAGCAGCAGCAACAACAACAACAACAACAACAACAACAACAACAACAACAACAACAACAACAACAACAACAACAACAACAACAACAACAACAACAACAACAGAAAGGCAATGCTTGTGATTATAACCTATACTATTTGGTCTAGATTGCATGTGTTTAAATGTTGACCCTTCTGTAATTACTTTCTTTTTTTGGAAGAAAAGTATTTGATTGTTGTAGTTCCTGAATGTGGAGCCACATATTCTTTTTAAATTATTTAAACTTATACTATATATACTAATACTACTTATTATCATTGTAACCGTTTGATATAAATGCACCATGAGGGTTGCTATTCATTTTGCAAAGTCAACAAAAGAGTTATATTCTCTAATTGAGATGCCATACAATACTGGTTTCAAGTACAATACTGGGTACAAATATATAACATCACATTATATTATATAAGCATATCATATGTTTTCTATGTGTGTCCGATAAATGTAGAGAACAACATATTTTACTCTGACATGTAGAGGTGTATACCAAGCGGCAAACTCTGGGGAACAGCCGGGACGCCAATACGGAAGTGCCACACACTGCAGTTCATACATGGGCCGCTAGGGACTGGCTGCAGAAAGGAGCAATTTCCATAGACCCCCATGTTAAAATGCCCAACTTTACAGCAGAAAAAAACATGTTTCTACCCATGGATGCAATAAATATTATTATCGATATAGTTAGATTCCACCTTCATGATTATGAATCGGTGAGTGAATTGTTTTCTAACAAAACCCTTTTATTTATATTAGGTCTTAAAGTTTTTGCATAAATTAGGGCGTGGTCTCTTTGATGGACATGGACATGCCTCACTGTCAGCTAACAGCAACTTGTCCACTCTGCTAGGCTACAACGTTAGTTAGTCATAGTACTGTACTTGACCCTTTAGCTTTAGCCGTGTTCGTGGTGATTGTGCCTTTTAGGGAATATTGTTACAAATACCAGACAATTAAATTAAAATGATAATATTATACATGTTAACCCCGTTCGCAGGTGTTTGTGTGCTTGGTAGCTTAGCTTGTTACTTATTAGCCAGCTAAGGATGTAACCCTTTATACATACGTATATACATTTTAGTTAATGAATCAGCCTTGTGTAAGACTTGTATAGTCTATGGCTATGACACCCATAATGCTAAACGGGAGCAAATGTTAATAGGGGACCCAATTATCCCAGTGGTGGCCGCCCGCCGGAGCTAACTGAGCCGCAGGGGGCTAGCTCCAGCCGGCGTCCCGGAGCTAGCCCACTGCGGCTCCGTTAGGTCCGGGCGGTGGAGTCCGTCGTTATAACTGGAGATCAAGGAATGCAGAGAAACGCAGACTTGGTTCGCCTGCTGTAGTATTAGCTATATAAATTATGTTGAATAAGGCTTATTAAGCTGAACATCTCCACAGTTGTTCTGCTATGTATCGGTACTTATTTTCTTAACGTGTGAATGACAAGCATTAAGAATAACAAAATATAGCTAATTCTCTTGCAGATTGTCTCATTTGATTATGAATGTAACGTTTATATAGGGGAACTACACTGTTAGCAGTAACTTGGTATGCATGTATTTCATGTTAGCTTAGCTTCTTAGCCTGAGCTAGCTCTGTTTACTTCCAGTTCGGAGGCAGCAGGTCCCGCCTCGGCTCCGCCTCTTTGCCCTTATTTGGAGCAGGCGGGAGTTGAACTCTGACGTCGCTGTCAAGCTGTTAGTGGCCGACTCCGCCTATTAGGGCTTCTCGGCAACTCTGCAGAATCCTATGGGTGACGTCACGGACACTACGTCCATTTATATACAGTCTATGGTGTATACCAGGGGCCAACACGGTGCCCGCGGGCACTTAGTCGCCCGCAGGGGCAACGTGAGTCGCCCGCGGGGCATGTTCTAAAAATAGCTCGCCAAGCAAATTCCATCCATCCATCCATCTTCTCCCGCTTATCCGTGGTCGGGTCGCGGGGGTAGCAGTTCCAGCAGAGAGCCCCAAACTTTCTTTTCCCTGGCGACATCAACCAGCCAAGCAAATTCAAAATGTATAAAATACACAAAACAAAAAAGAAAATGTAATTAAAAATATCTACCCTATGCATAAACGAAACCTAAATCATAGCGAACTCTATCTACTTACTACAGCTCCATATCTATCTAACACCCCTCCTTCGGGTGACCAGGTCCCAACAAACCAAATGTGGGACAAGGAGTATGTTTGTGTGGGACACCCTCTCAACAGCACCCCCGCCCCCCCCCCCCCCTCTGTTTAATTTGGTTTATTCAACAGCATCCAATAAACAATGACAGAAAGTGAGGTCAAAATGCAGTAATAATTTAGTATCTTAATAAAGAATAGTAAACTAAGGCTAACCAAGGCAGCAGGCATTATTCACTTCAAGTGTTTAGAAATGCATCTTCCTAATTCAACTAGTGTATTACCTGTAAAAGTAGGCACAACATAAATTAATAGATAAAATAAAACCATAAGTACAAATGAAACCTGTCCAGGAGGGAACAAAAACATAATACATAAAATAAAATAGCTTTCAGTTTTGTCCATCACAGCAACAACAGGTGGGCCCCAAATGTTTACGTCGTATTCACCGCCATGTGAAATAGAAAAATTACTCTTGCAAAGATTGCAAAAAATTCTCTGAGAGTCGCCCTGCACTGGCTTCACCCACGGGTAAGTGTCTTCCCAGTCTTTGTTGTATGTGCATCTTCTTTTCTCCTTAGTTTCAGTTTCCTCCATTTTCCATAACCTGCTGCCTCGCCTGCGTTATTGACTGACTTTCGTTGTTGTTGTTTGGCGGGGGGGGGGGGTGTGTGAGTGAGTTACTCTCATTGGTTAACACTTGACCAGCACCCGTCGTGTATTACAGTTTGATTGACAGCAAACACACCCCGTGATGATAGCCTTCCCTGCTTTCTCAACAGCCATTGGATAAATCTGATTTTAAAGAAAAGCGTTTTAGCCAATCAAAATGAAATATGTGGAACATCGTCTCAATTTGCGGGACGCACCAAAAGTCGTGAAAATGCTGTGCAGTCCCGCGCAAAGCGGGACATCTGGTCACCCCCCACCCCCACAATGAATATCGACCAATCACGTTCTTGCTTGATTTGCGGGACCAGCGTTGCAGTCGGGAAGAAAAGCAATGTGGAGCGGCAGCTCACCGCTTCATAAGGAGTGTGAGTGTGACCGTGATTTTCCTTCTGGCAGAATCTACACAACACATCAGCCCCATTGAACAGCCTATCGTGTTAGCCTATACAGCACATGAGGCGTTATGAGCGTAATCTCCACTGGGGACAGGGGGGACATGTCCCCTGCTCTTTTCAAACTCCCGTTTGTGTCCCCCCTCTTTACAAATATGTTTTTTTATTTTTTTAACGCAAGCCGTCATCGCCACGGAGGAGCGAGATGGAGAGAGAGAGAGAGAGAGAGAGAGAGAGAGAGAGAGAGAGAGAGAGAGAGAGAGAGAGAGAGAGAGAGAGCACACCTTTATCTATTTAATATAGATAAAGTAAGAAATCATTCTAATGTGTACTATAGGACAGTAACAAAAACAAAAAAACAGTTTAAAAGGGGAGTGATTAGTAAAATATTCATAAATAAAAAGAAAGAATGCTAACTAGGTAACATAAGATAAAAATAAACCAGTTTAAATGATTTGTTATTGGTTGTGATCATATTCTAAAGATGTTTGGATTATTGAAAAGTATACAGCTCCCTTTCATCTGAGTGTTGAGAGCTGTATCCATAAATTCATGTTGTGCTCAAAGTGCACCAGATTGATGCTTTTAACTTCAACATTTAAAAAAACATCTTCCCGGGGGAGCATGCCCCCGGACCCTCCTAGAGGACGTGAGGGCCACCCCCAAATAAAGCAGGTTAAAATAATTAAATTGCATACATTTTTCTTTTAGTAAACACTGAAAACGGGTCCCACAGACCCAAACAGCACACAAAGGTAAGCATATAATAATGTTAATGTGCTAAATATATACACTACAAAAAACAAAAAAAAGAGGAGTAAAAGTAGCCCCCGACTTGTTTTATTTTTTGAAAGTAGCCCTCACCCTAAAAAAGGTTGGTGACCCCTGGTGTATACGCACACAATACAAATACTCAAGTAAAGTGTAAGTCAGTCTAAACTGTATTTAGCATTGTATGCCAAACATAAACTTACTTGACTATGTTGGGATGGTTGAAGTGCTTCATTTGACGCAGCAGCGCAACCTCGCGGATCATGAAGGCAGGGATCCCGATCTCGAACGTGTCCCCGCGGATGTTGAACTTCTTCACCGCCAGGAAGCGCTGCTTCTCCCCCAGCTCTCTGGCTTTATACACCTTACCGTAGGCGCCTTCTCCAACTTCTGCCAGGAGCTCGTAGCACAAAGGCTTGGTGCGGATGTCCATGGCCTTTCAGATGCAGTATAAATAAACCTAAACTTTCTAAATAAATGTCTATTAAAAGGATCAAAAAAGTTAAACATGTTGCATTTAGCTTAGCTGCTCGCAACACGTTTTTCAAGTCATAGTAAGCTAGCTAACTTAACTCGTCTCTGAATAAAAGTGAGGTTTGCAAGTTAGCTAGCAGGTCAAATGTTTATAGACACCACGGCAGCGAACCACAAGTAAAAACAATATCAATTATATACAAACAAGCTTTTAATGTCGCTTGTTGGTACAATATCTGATGCTTTTACCTTTTCTCAGACTGCTGACCGCTCCCCTCCATGTGGCCGCCTGCAGGGAAATGTCGATGCACATATGCTGCATGCAGCATTAGAAACGTTATTAGAAATTCACCCAATCAGATGGCTCAAAATGTACATTTTGTTAAGGCCACTTCCTACACGTGCTCCCTACATGCTGCGTTCACCTTCACTGCACATTAATAACAAATACACTTAAAAACTCCTGTTTGTGAGGAGGGTGGTTTCCAGATAACAGAAAAAAACAGCATGGTAGGTTTTTTATGACAACGACAATAACCATGCTTTGTAGTCAATGGGACGTTTACAATGTAGTTAATTTCTTTGTTATTAGCAGGAACGTGAATTGCTAACAATATTGACAGGTTTCAAAATATAAATAATGGATTTAGAAATGAATACAACAAAGACCAAACCACAACAAATTAATAGTAAATAGTAAATACCCTTTTAATATTAAAGAGGGCAGAAGCTTTGTAAGCTTTGTCACTCAGGCACAGTGTTTAGACTCAGAGCAAACTAAAAAGGCAGTTTAGAATAAAATATCACACAACATGTTGCATATGATTTCAAACTTTGGTTTGCATAAAGAATGTAGGTCTTGTTAGCTCTGATGAGGCAGGTTGGCTGTTGAAACATTGCAAATCTTACAATACACACAATTTATCAAAACGGAGGTATTCAAACATGAATTAATGTAGGTAGGCTAAGCATATTTTTGAAGTGTTAGCACAGCTAAGTGTTGATCTGTCGGGTTGGAAAACTCATCTTTCCACTTTTCTTTCATTTGTTCAATGTTATGTGGAAGTCTTTTTTCTAGGGCGCATAAAACGAAAGTTTTTTTTGTGAGTGAGGGGTTAGCTCAGTTACTGAATAATTACAGTATAACCGCACTTAGCTGAATACGTTCAGGCAGTTAATCTTCTTTCGATTTGGCATATTTAATTTTCTTTGCCAAAGAGATGGCATCCAGATGGAGGTTGCGATTGAGAATGACGGAGCCGCAGGTGAGAGCTCCAGCAAGAGCGCCAGCAAAGCCACACAGAAACACATCCTGACCTGCAACACAAAATGTAAATACCTCATTAGGATGATACTGTAAAGTGTTGTGAGGAATTACAGGTGACCTCTGATGATACTGTGCTGCACGGATGGGCTCACCTGTCAGATAGAGGTTCTTCAGAGGAGTTTGAGGTCGCACTGTAGCGTTGAGTTCAGGGCTGAATCGGGCGATGCCGTGATCCGCTCCGTAGATTTCACCCTTGGGGGCTCCGATGTAGTGTGTGTTTGTAATGGGAGTGCCAGCATCGATGTACTCAATCTATACCAAAAGAAAACCGGCATATGAATTTCCTAGTTTCAGACAATGGTGGTGTTATAATTAGGAAAAATAATGCTTTAAAGTAAAATACTTAATGCAGACAAATTGTAGAAGTGCATACTGTACCAAAGAGAGTGACAGCCTACAGAGAATACCGTTTGCAATAAATCTCCATAATATATAAAAGGGACAGATTCATAAAAAATACCTTGTCTCTGGTTATCTTGGGGAAGATATCCATCAGCACCTCCAGAATCGAGTCAATGAATATCTGTTTCAGCTCTTTGTATTCAGGCGCTCTGTTGTTCACTTTGTCATCCTTCCACTCCTCAAACCACTCGTACTTTGCAAAACTGACCAGACTCAAGGTGGACTTCCCTAATGTGATGAAAGAAATGAGAGAATATTTGACTATACCAGAGAATTGTAAAGCATTGGAAATTAATAAATAGTGTGTCAATACGTTCGCAATAATCAAAAATGTTACAAATCTTATCGCTCTTTTAACAAAATGGATTAGTGTTGGTTTTAATGACACTATGAGACAACAATAAGTAAGTTCCGATTACAAATATATTTTGTTTTACACATCAATCGTTCTGAATCTTGCATTAACATAGTTTCACTGTAAAAACGGAAACACTGACACATTGCATCATATCACAGCCTCTGTACCTGGTGATCTTTCCTCCCAGGTCGAATCTTTAGCCGATGGAGAGGCAACAAACAGAAGTGGTACACTTTTAGCTGACTCTTCCCTCTTTCCATTCAAATATGTCTCCGTCCTGTAAAGGAAATGATGTAGTTCTGGTGCATTCACACAGATACAAAATAGCTGAAGTAGACTTATTCCGTTCTTACTTTAAATATCTAAATGAAGATATCTTCTAATAGTAAAGAAAGTACAAGTATTTACAGTGACTTAAATCTCCATGTGTAGTATATATGTTTCTTTCAGACAGTGTTTTACATCAGATCAAAGCCCATGTGAAGTTTTAGAAAAAAGAAATTAGGGATTTTGAGATGTAGTTTGTGTTAAAGTTGCCATGACTTCAAAAACTAAATAAAATACTGTCCTTACAAACTAAATAAAATAGAAGATTTTAAGTTGCCGGGTATGTGTTTGGCTATTCCTCAAAATTATTATCATGAAAATCAAAAGATAAAAGAAGCAAGTCAACATACAGTTCATCAAAATTGTTCTCGGTAAAGATCCAGTAGTTGTCTGCCTTGAGGCCCAGATCCTCCTTAGTTCCTTCAAGACCCAGAAAAATACTCAGGCCTCCTTCACCGTTCTTCATCATGCCCAGCTGCTGTTGGATGGCTGGATGAAAGGATCAGATTAGATTCAACTTTATTGACATTGCACAATAATGCAGTTTGCATCTAATCATGAAGTTCACAGAGTAGATATGCTACAGGTGAGGTTACAGTACATAAACTTGTGTGGGTTACAGTATACTGTAGAAAGAAAAGGTGCTGGCAGGTTATATTTACAGATAAGGAGCAGGGTTTTAAAGCATAGGAGATCCACATCATACAGTACAACTTTATCAACAGCTCAGAGATAAGTAACATCAAAATGTTATCTATATGTGGGAAGGATTGTTTCCATACAATTTTGAGCCAGTAGGAACAAAGTGCCCAAAGCAGGGAGAAAAACACCATTGCAGGGATGGGAAAATAATTTATTTGATGTGATTTTTGCTGTCCGATATTATGGAATACGCTCCAGGAGCATTGCCGAGACAGTAATAGGTCCAATAGTGCAATAAATGTACTATATGAATGTAATAAGGAATTCTCCTACTTTTATACAACTTCAAAATCAGTGGTGTAGGCTATGCTAACCATACATTTTTGTATTTGCTATATGTAAACTAGCTGGACTAGCTTATTTTAAATCAATTACACAATTTGAATAACATAAGCAATTGATTTAATTTAATGTAATAACTTGATGGCTAATTAACACATTCCACAACAGCATACAGATCATACAGATGGTCTGAAATCTGCTGCAAAATGAAACAAATCTCACCGTACTTTGCAAACTCCGCAAAAAAATATAAAAATGGTAAATGTTTAAGAATGAATTACCTTACGCTTGACTTACATGCACAGAGCTAGGTGGAAACAAGCCGCGAGTTATTGAGTAAGGGGAGAAAAACTGAAACATACTTTTTGGAGCTCACAGTGAAATTATTGCTCAACTTATCCATCATGGAAACAAACTCCAGTCTTTCGTAATATGTGCTGCTATTCTCGATTGTATCTCATGTGAATTGAGTCATTTGGGATTTTTGGCAGACCAAAAAAAGAAAGTATATATTGATGTTGTCACCTTAGCATTTTCTAGACTAAAGGATTAACTGATAATAAAACAATCATCATTAATGAATAAATGTTAAGTCGAAACTGAAAATAATCATTAGTTGAAGCATGTATTCCCTACCTGGCATGGCCTGGAGCTCTTTGGGCAGCAGCTTCTCGTAGGTGTTGAAGATGCCAGCATTAGAGATGACCATGGGGGCGCGGATATGTATTTCCTCCTGGCCTTTCATGACGCTCACACCTAAAAGCATGAAAACAAACTGCAGTGAATCTCTGATCAGCTGGAGCTGCGTGCTGGGATTTTGTATTGTAACACTGAGGAAATCACACCCACCATAAGCCTCCTTGGCGTCATTGAACAGAATGCGGTTGACTGGAGCTCGGACTAGAACCGCACCACCAGCCTTCTCAATGATGGGGATCATGTGGTAGGCAATTTCACTGGCTCCGCCTTTTGGGTACCAGGCACCGTTCAGGTAGTGAGTGACCAGCAGGCTGTGCATAGAGAAACTGGTATCTTTTGGCATGTTACCTGCAGGTCAGAGAAATAAACAAAGGCCATAAGCAGAATACTAAAGAATACATCTATTAAGCCATTAGGACTGTGGCTTGGCCTACCATAGGTGCCATAGATGTAGGTGAAGACGGCCCTGAGATCCTCATTCTCTGTCAGTTCATTGACTACTTCTGTCAGGCTGCGGGAGGCCATTTTGAAGAAGTAAGACAGACGTTTGGCCAGACCGGTGTAGACCAGGAACTTTGCCAGGAAGGCGGGGCAGATTTTCAACATAGCGAGGAGCCAAATTCCCCGCCCAACTTTCTGAAGACAGAACAAGACACACAGATGAGGGCTGGACTGACACACACTTACAAGTGAGTGCAATCATAATAGTCTGTTTCTGTATGATTGATTGATTGCATTAATGGTTATTCAGACACAAACTAAAGTGTCCAAATGAAAACATGTTAGATTAAAAATTCTTATTTCCAACATGGGACCAAGATTTTAGAAGAAAAGACAAACACAAGACATTTAACAAAAACAA